CCTCCATATCAAATATGAAAGAACACAAGCTTCTAATTCCCATCTCCTTATCCTGGGAGAAGAGATCCATAAAAACAGTGGCTTTAATAGATTCAGGAGCAGCAGAGAGTTTCATAGATCAGGCCTTTGCTGATAGCCATTCTCTTCCCTCCAGGTTAAGAGCTACACCCTTGGCCGTTGAGGCCATAGCTGGTAGATCACTGTCGGAGCCTGTGATTTCCCATGAAACAATACCTGTAAAATTAGCCATTGGCATCTTATACGAGGAAATCACCTTACTCCAATTGATCTACTCTCCAGCCTTTCCAGTCGTCTTGGGATTTCCCTGGTTGATGAAACATAACCCCATTATTAACTGAGATAATGCTATTGGGTCATGGAGCCAAGGGTGTACTGAGGGATGTTTACAGAGAATCAAACCAGTTCATTTGGTAAACACACCTACTATGTCTCCCCTGTCAACAGAGATACCCCCTCAATATCTAGACCTTAAAGCAGTTTTCGACGAAAGGAAAGCTGTTGTTTTACCGCCACATAGGTCTTATGACTGCACTATCAACCTTTTACCAGGTACCATGCCCCCGAGAGGCACAATATATCCTCTATCCACTAAAGAGAACATAGTGTTACTAAACTAGTAGTGGGGGGGAGGGTCAAAGCAATCTAGAAAATGGAGATAAGATAGAAATGAGATGGGCTTTAGCTAAGAACAAAGGGGGTAGAAATGGGGGAGGGGAAAGCTCAGAACAGAGGAGGTATGTAATATTGACAATTCACAAAAAGTACAAATGACTCATGGTAATATTAAATGTATGCTTACTAACACAAGGAGCCTATATAACAAAATGGGGGAACTAGAGGCAATAGCATACACTAAACAATATGATATAATAGGCATAACAGAAACATGGTGGAATGAGACACATGACTGGGCAGTTAACTTAAATGGGTGCACGTTATTTAGGAAGGATAGGAAAACAACAAGGGTGGTATGTCAGCCATGAATTAAAGTCAAATCTTAGGCATGTGGAGTTTGACGAGGAAAATGTGGAAGCTTTATGGGTAGATATCAGCTTTCGGCAAACAAAGGGGGATAAGTTATTGGTTGGGATATGTTATAAACCACCAAATGTAAATATTAATGAGGAAGAACTGCTGTTAGAGAAAATTGGGAAAGCTGCAAATCGGAGTAACACATTATTTATTGGAGATTTTAATTACCCGGACATAAATTGGGATAAAGGGACTAGTACTTCAGCAAGGGGAATCCAGTTTTTGAATGTGTTAAATGACACCTTTATGTCACAACTGGTACAAACACCAACTAGAAAGGATGCTTGTCTGGATCTCATTATAACAAACAATGTTGATCTTTTAACCAACATTCAAGTAGGGGAGCATTTGGGAAATAGTGATCACAATATGGTAACTTTTGAAATAAATTCAAAAAAGTAAAAGCACGTGGGGTATATTAAAAGCCAATTTTAATAAGATTAGGGCAGCTCTACAACATATCGACTGGCATAAACTCCTTAGTGATAAAAACACTGAGGAAAAAGGAAACTATTCAAACAAATATTAGAAAGGTACATTTGGGTAATAAATATAAAAGAAACAAATTAAAACCAATGTGGCTTAGTAGAGAAGTAAAACAAGAGATTAAAAATAAGAAAAGGGCATTTAAAGCATTTAAATCTGAAAAATAAGAGGAATCCTATATAAGATATAAGGAAGCCAATAATACTTGCAAAAAGGCAATTAAAGTGGCTAAACTAGAAAATGAGAAATTGGTAGCCAAAAAATGCAAAACCAACCCCAAATTTATTTTCAAGTACATCAATTCTAAAAAAATAAAAAATGAAAGTGTAGGTACACTGAAAAAAGAGATGGGTCTGTTAGTCAATGAAGACCAGGAAAAGGCAGAAATTTTAAATAACTATTTTTCTTCTGTATATATTAATGAGGGTCCTATGGCAAGAGATAAGCAAATGATTGCTGCAACAAACTTGCAGATAACTTGTGATTGGATAACTCGAGACAAGGTGCTACAGCTATTAAAGAAAATTAATGTAAATAAAGCTCCGGGGCCTGACGGTATCCACCCACAAGTACTTAAGGAGCTAAGTGGGGAAATAAATGAACCTCTGTATTTAATTTTTCAAGATTCTTTTGTTTCAGGTATTGTACTGGAGGATTGGAGGAAGGCAGATGTTGTTCCTATATTTAAAAAGGGTTCAAAATCCTTGCCTGGAAATTATAGACCTGTGAGCTTAACTTCTGTGACTGGGAAATTATTTGAACAGCTATTAAGGGATAATATTCAGGAATTTATTGGGAAGAACTGTATTATTAGCAATAATCAGCATGGTTTTATGAAACATAGGTCATGTCAAACTAACCTAATTGCATTCTACGCAGAAGTAAGTAGAAGTATAGATCAGGGTGTTGCAGTGGATGTGATCTACTTGGATTTTGCCAAGGCATTTGATACGGTTCCTCACAATAGGTTAGTCTTCAAACTAAAAGAAATTGGTCTAGATGAATATTCTTGTTCTTGGGTAGAACATTGGCTTAAGGATAGAGTACAACGAGTTTTCATTAATGATAAATTTTCAAGCTGGACAAAAGTGGTAAGTGGTGTCCCTCAGGGTTCTGTTTTGGGACCGCTTCTATTTAACATATTTATAAATGATCTTGAAATGGGCATTGAAAGCCATGTATCAGTGTTTGCAGATGGCACAAAACTTTGTAAAGTAAAAAAATGTGAGCAGGATATTGTCTTGCTGCAGAGGGATTTGGATAGATTGGGGGACTGGGCACTAAAATGGCAGAGGAAATTAAACGTAGAGAAATGCAAAGTTATGCACTTCGGGGTTAAGAATACACAAGCAATTTACACCCTTAATGGTAGTGAACTAGGGATAACCACACACGAGAAGGATTTGGGAATTGTTATAGACAACAAATTAAATAGCAAAATGCAATGTCAATCTGCCGTTGCTAAGGCCAGTAAGGTTTTGTCATGTATATATAGGGGCATAAATTCTCGAGATGAAAATATAATTTTGCCTCTTTATAAATCGCCGGTAAGACCACACCTTGAATATGCTGTGCAATTTGGGGCACCTGTTCTAAAGAACAATATCATGGCACTAGAAAAAGTGCAGAGACGAGCTACAAAATTGATAAAAGGAATGGAGCATTTTAGTTATGAAGAA